CTCAACAAGACTAACTGGCTCTATTCCACATATTAAATATACTAATAAGGAAAAAAATATAGATGGATTTTATTTGTCAACTCCGTGATGGACCTTGTGACTCGACAATTCAATGAATACTTAAATTGGCAATAATTTCTTGACTTATTTGAGTATTTTTAGTTTATAAGTAGAGTTTCTAGTCTACCAGTAAATCAGCTATATATGATGTATTGACCCTTTTTTGTTTAATGCGATGAAGGACTGGTAGTCAAATTATACTACAGAGCCTCACTTTCCCAAAAGGTATTTTCATCCAAGTGGACTGCAGTTTTAACCTTATCAGCCCCCCCAGCGAGACTCGAACCGTGACAGCGCAGCGTATAATCTCGAGATTGGTAGTCTCTAAACCTTACTTTTAAGCGAAGAATAAGTAATGTAGTCGATTGCTATAGCTTCTAAGACAATCCTAACATAGAATGTAATATGGGAAAATGCCTGCCCTCCACGAACTTCACATCTGCCCTATGAGAAAGTGCACTAGTGACAATGTGGCGTAGTGGTTAACGTGTCGAAATTTCACTACATTGACATGGTTCGAGTCTCACTGAAGTCAAATCTGTAGTCCATTCAGGATGAGGATATCTTTTTAAGAAACGAAGCTACGTGAAAATCAAAAGAAATGCAATGTCTACTCACGTGTTTGTGGGAAAATGTTTTAACCGAAATTGGGTGACCACATCTTATATATGTGAATATTTTCTGTCTAATCCATCTGACCTGTACCTGCATAAGATGCAAAATAAGATCGACCTGCAAGTCGTATAGGGATATTCCAAACTATCATTGCTTTAAACGCTGTCTTGGATAATCTTGTCACAAGGGTTTGGAATAACATAATTTGGTATATGTTTTTGTTTTGAGTATGCCAACAAAGCGACCGTTTTATATGCACTACTCATTAATCATCATTCATTTTCGCATAGAAAGTATTTCTGCAGCCAGATTGTGCTGACATACCCGTTGCAGCATAGGCGTCTCCAAACATAACTGTGCTATTTGGCAAACTGGGGATGATGGTCACGCTGACCTTCAAATATCCGAAACCCTCTTCTCGACTTATGAACAAGGGAAGACGACCAGTCACCGAAGAGCTTTTTTCTGTGGACAACATTGCGTGAATTGAGTCAAGATTGGCCACCAAGAAGTGCGTCTGAAGCTGATCATTCGCTTTGGTGCAGCTCAAACCTTTGACTGCCTCAAATGAATCGGAGTAAACGGAGCCGGGAAGTGGTTCATAGATCGACTGGTGGTCCTTTTTAGATCCGATGCTCTGAGAAGGCGTCAGTACATTTGCCGAATTGTGCGATGAAGGCAGCTCAGCCCCTACGAAGAGGAGTACCAAAAACCTGGTCCACTTGAGCAAAATGTGATGCGAT